GAACAAGCTCATAGAGGTCAGCGACCTTGCGGCCTTTGGCAAACTCATCTGTCAAATAGACCTCCAGGTAATGTAGCTCATCAGAGATGGCCATGTCTACAACAAAAATTTTGTACAATAAATAAACGAAATCTCTACAGATGGCATGTATAGTACACTGTTCTTTAACGCTCAAGAAAATTCTTAATGTTAAGAGTGCAAATGAGTTCTATTCTATTAAACACAATGCAACGGAAACATACAGAGTTCGTAGTAGCTCTTGGGAGAAAGCATAGAAGTCCTCAACTCCCCCAACATATTTGAGGCATGTTTCAATGCATCCATCAACTTGTTCTTGTCCTGGATGAAGAACATAAATGTTCATAAACAGAGTAAGAGTGCAGCTTTTACACTCCAATATAAATATATTTTCGTTTTTCTATGTTTTGTTTTAATGGTTAAAAGCAAGAAGCATCACACTGCTGTGGATGGATTAACAGTGTTACAGAAACTGTAAACTTGCATGTACTTAACTCACCAGACAGCGTTTCATCTGAAATGACTGAACCTTGACTGCCTGCACAGCTTCATCCAACAGCTTCTCCTGCTCATCCTGAGGTGACTGCTGTGTGGTAGGCTGGAATAAACAGGTGCAGACAAACAATCAAACTAGAAACTAGCGTCAAAAACTTTTACATGTTAAAAAATATTTTGAGTAGGCTAGTTTATTTCAACATCAATATTATATGTCCCACCAGTCAAAAGTTTGTATAGAAAATGATTACCATTTTCTACATTTTATAATACCTTCTACAATAGGGATGCACCAATGTATTAGCCAATGATCCGGTTCGGCAGATAAAAGCAATTATCTGCACTATCGGTCATCGGCTGATTGTTTAGTAGTAGTATATATTTATTTAATGCCATGTCAGCATCTTAGGCTTTCATGGCAAAAATAATTTAAAAATACAAAGTATAACAAATACAATAAATACCAGCAAACAAACAAACACAAGTTATACTACACAAGATTTTTTACATTGATATATGATAAAAATTCTAAAACTTTTTCTGGCAAAATTATACTAAATAAATCTTTAAATGAGTTCACTTCATAAAAGAGTTTTCTACATACATTAAAAGCTGGACAGTCCAATAAAATATGTTTGACAGAAAGAGGAACCTTGCAAAACATGCATGGAGTAGGGTCTTCACCTAAGCAAGAATGCATGAGTCAGTCTTGTATGACCTATGCGACATCTGGTAAATAACACTTGATCAAATCTAGTTTTAAAAGAGATTAAAATCTGTTTGAAATTTCCGGATGCATTTCATGTAATTTATTATTTGTACATGTATCCCACTCTTCTTGCCACTTATTTAATATGTAACGATTAAAGGGTTAGTTCACCCAAAAATGAAAATTAGCCCATAAATTACTCGCCCTCAAGGCATCCTAAGTGTATATGACTTTCTTCTTTCAGACGAATCCAGTCGGAGTTATATAAAAAATAGTCTTTGATCTTTCAAGCTGTTTAATGCCACTCAGCGGGTGTTGCATGCATCAGTTCAAAAGAAGTTAAATAAAAAGCGCTCATCCATAAAAAAAAAAAGTGTCGGGGGGGGACATAGGCCTCCTGTAGCGAATCGATGCGTTTTTGTAAGAACAATATCCATATTCAAAACGTAATAAATCACTTTAATGTAGCTTGCGGCAACAGTTGTACACGGAAGCAGCTCCAGGCGGATGATGTAAGATGTCGGCATTGCACATGCGCCGGTGAGTCTCGTGAAAACCAACGTTTGTTTACAAGAGCAAAGGAAGCATAGTTTCCTTACTTTAGCAAAGGAAAACCAGTCTCCTCTTGGCTTATATCGAAATCCTCTGACATTCTTCTTTACAACTCCTCGTTTTGTACTTCTAATTCTTGACCGTTGTTTTGTTCTCTCCGCTCTGCTTCCGCGTTTGTCACTTCTGAGAGGCGCATGCGCAACTCCGACCTCATACGTCATTCCCCCAGAACTGCTTCTGTTTACAACAGTGAGCGCAAGCTAGATTAATTTGATTATTAAGTTTTGAATATGGATATTTTTCTTACAAAAACGCATCGATTCGCTACAGGCCTTTGTTTACTCCCCGGAGCAGTGTGAGACACTTTTTTTAATGGATGGGCGCTTTTTATTTAACTTCTTTTGGACTGAAGCAATGCAACACCCGCTGAGTGTCATTAAACAGCTTGAAAGATCTAAGACAATTTTTTATATAACTCAGACTCGATCAGTGTCTGAGTTATAAGGTGAAAGTCATATATACCTGGGATGACTTGAGGGTTAGTAATTTATGGGCTAATTTAAATTTTTGGGTGAACTAACCCTTTAATAATAGGTCTGATCTCTGAGGGAGGAATTTGACATTTGTTTACTTGCTGATTAAAAGCCTCCTTTGCTGCTGCATCAGCTTGCTCATTTCCTGAAAGCCCAACATGGCCTGGAACCCAACATAAAATAATACTATAGAATTGATTCTGTAGCTGGTCCACTTTGGTTAAAATACAATCTATCAAAGGGTGCCGATTGTTTAAAAACAGCCAATGATCAGGGACGATTATTTCCTTTCAATCAAAAGGTGTTAGATAAGCATGTCAGACAGTAACCTGCATGAAGAAAATGTTTCTTGTGTTGAATGTAGGGCTGTTTTGACACTCTTAAATGTGACATGACAGAACGCTGTAGCTGCTTCAGTTCAAGCAGCAGCACAGAGCACGAGTCTCTTCCACTTTAATAGAAGTTATAGCGCAGAATAAACATTAATGAATATCAGTAGGTATGTTGAAAGATACAGTACAACTTACCAAAATTAATCATGTCTCATGTAATCACTCAATCAGTGTTTCAACCAAAAGGTGTCACATAATACAGCTTGTGAACAATGTCACAAATGTATCCACTAAATTTATTCATAGTTAGCTATAAAAAAAACACACTAGAGGGAGCTTAATTACATACATATATATATATATATGTTTGAATAGTTTTTATGAAAACTATCTTATGTGCAACTGAGTTGTAAACAAATGTTTTTATTCGAGTGTGATTATTATATCTGAAAATAAACAGCTTTGAATATAATAGTGTTGCTAATTTACCATATGAGAGGGTTCCCTGTATAGTTTACAGCATTAGTCGGGAGAGATTTTTTTTCCCTTAAAAAACAAACAAACTATCGCTATCAACATCATTATCGGCAGATATCATACAGAATAACTGCCTATTGGTATCGGCTGAGAAATTTCATATCGATGCATCTATATTTTATAACTAATTTAAAGCATTTAAGCTCTTCAGACATTACTCTTTAAATGAAAAGAGTAACAGCTGTATACAAAGTTTTTGACCACTGTAAATGTATACAATTTCTCATTAATCCACATTGAGATGCCCATATCTTTGAAATTAGCCTAAATTCAAAAAGAAATGTTTGTTAAGAACAAACATCTAAAAGGATACTAAGACATTATCCATTTCTGAACTGTCGATAATGCCATATACTGCAACAAGGATTGCTAAGGTCAACTAATTTTACAAACAGACCTACATAAAAATAAAATAATGATGCTGTCATCTTTCTAAAGTCCTTCTAAAGTGTCCTGTAATTTGTCAACAAACCACTGCAAAATTGTCATTTTTCGATCTTTAACATTATAAATGTCTGTACTGCCATTTTTTTTACCAATTTAATAAATCCTTGCTGAATGCTAAAAAAAAACTTTTGAACAGAAGAAAAAATATATAATAAGAATTATATATATATATATATATATATATATATATATATGAATGACACTTTCCCTTGTATATTTACTACTTTTCAAAAATTTAATTTTAAGTGCTGTTGCTGGTTGCCATTTCTTTTAAAAACGTTTCTTGACATGTTTAATTACATTTTAGTCTATTTTATAAATATGAAGACCACTGAAAACCACTGTACATAATTGTAAATTAATTTTAAAAAATTAAATACCGTAGGCTACATAACTGAAGTGTCAGAGGTCTGCAGCTGGCTGGGGTGGGGGTGACATACGTAATGACAATATACAGCCCCCCCTGACCCCTCCTAAGTGTTATGATAAACGGTAAACATAACAGATTATGGGCTGCTTAAAACTGAATGAATGAACCAGAGACCAAACATCGCTAATGTTATGCATACTAAAAACACTGCCATTATTCAAATATATGTAAATGCACATGTAAACAAAGAGCTGCATATAAACGTATCGTAGATGTATGGTAACAAATAAAAATACCGATATAAACCTAACTGTAAAGAAATAAGGCTAATGCTAGCAGGATTAGCAGTTTAAATTAGCTCATTTTGCACACAACTTGTGAATTTTAATGACAGCAAAACATAACGGCTGTAAGTTTACTACACCTGCATGCCAAATGTTAAACCGCTAGTAGAATAAACCAAGACAGAGGAAATAAACGAGAATAATTAAGTGTACGTAGGCCTCCGCATCTCAAACGCTTATGCTAACGGCTATCTTCACAAACGCAAAACAGTCCGCCAAGAGATCTCAGTGCCCCTCTGACACCATCACTGCTGTAATCAACTTAACGGCGCATATAAAGCATCCGGCACACAGTCTATGCATACGACGGTCGCTTATAACTTACCATGATCATTAGGTGTGTTAGAGGAACACTGGATGACCCCGCTGTGAATGTGTCGAGTCACGTGACTGCGCCGCTGCTGTTCCGCCTCATGCCGAGCAGCACAACAAGCGCTAGCTGAAACGCTGTAGAAGCTACATTAAGAATTCAAATGAATTTATTTACAATAAAATAATTGGCTGAGTTGTGTCATTATATCATCCTACTTGTGTGGAAAGTGTAATGAAAAACGTTTCTCCGACCAACATGTTACATACTTCGCTTGGCCTATATTATTATTTCATTTGACGAATACTGAAATAGTAGTCAAGGTTTTGTACGCCCAATGACGTTGGCCGCGCCCATTTCTTGATCCACCAATGGCAGGTCCGAACGTGTGACACGTGTTCGTTTTCGCGCGAAACCAGTCTGTCTGTGTGCTTAGTCTGCAGAGGATTCCATTGTGTTGTGGTTACAGAGAAGATCCGAGCTTCTTTACAAATGGATAAAGAGTTATTTCGTAAGCTTGCTTCGAAGATTGGGATAACAGCTGTTAAAGTATTGAGGTAAGTGTTCCAGTGTCGAGTGACCAGTCGCTTGTTTTGAGAGACAGTGGTTCAGTCCGAAGTAAACATGTCAATATAACAACACCACTAATTCTGGTTATTTATTTTCAGTCAAGCCGAGGAATACATGCGATTATCCCAAGTGAAATGTGTTGGACTGGGTTCTGTTACAGCCACCAGCAAGGCCATTATTTGCCTTGAGTTGGCAGCGACTAACATGAAATCTCCTCTAGACAAGGCAAGATCCACTTCCCATACTGCGTTGTGATGTGTAGTATATGTATATGCATGCATGTACAGACATACATAAACTTTTGAGTAGGTCACTATAATTTGTAATATCATATGATGGAAGTATTAATGTGTGCGAGTTGTCTATAAATGTTAAGCCCAGTAGACTTTCTTGTGTTTGCCTATTGATTTTATTTACCCCCAACACTGTCCAGTTGTGGCATCACAAGAATATTGGGTTATTTCCATCTCATCTCAAATTCTGTATTGAATAAAATAGCTTTCTTTATGAAACTTAATTGTCATTTTATAAATAAATGGCCTATTATGGTGATTTTCCAAACCTAATTTTATAGCAATGAATGTATGAATCCTAAATATACACACATATTTAGGAAACACTTTTTTGCCACGATTTAGACAAAATTACAGCCTGGTGGTTGACCGTTAATAGAAATATTCTGTTTTCCTAATGCATCACACATATCATATTTAATATGAAGAATGCTTGTCCACAGACTGATATTTGCAGTTGAAAAATTAGGGGCAATTAGACGTAATAAAAATTGATCAAAATAACTTTCACACAATAAGCATTGGATGTTTTACACAATGTTGTACACATTAACATTTAGTAAAAGTTTACCTTTTTTTTTTTGCTATAATTTAATCAAATAAATATTCTTTATACTGGATAGGAGTATGCCATCAAACTGTCTGGACTAAGTCCTAAGGTGTACTCCAGTAATCTGAAGGCTATGGAGTGCATGCTGGGCCTGCAGTCAAACCTGGGTCTCAGAGATCTTGCAGTGCAGTTTGGGTGTTTGGAAGCGGTTAAAGTGGCCTCTCAGATCCTTCAGAGGTGAGTCTTCACATTGCATCAGTGCAATCAATATTAACTGAATGACTTATAAAATTGCATGTATTTGTTCAAGGTATGAGACCAGTTTGCCTGCTGCTCAGCAACAAGACCTTGACCTGTCAAAGCCTCTCTTTACCACAGCAGCTCTATATGCAGCATGCAAGTGAGTATAGATTGCTGTGATGTCTCATTGTCATCGAGTCAAATAATGACTGGTTCAAAAATGCTTGATAGTGGATGATTGTGTTTGATAATTACATAATAATTTTGGTTGGGAGCTCAATTGTCTCTTGAACCTCATTAAGCCCTTCACAGTGTCACTGTGATCAAAGTACTTTAATATGAGGCTATGAGAGGTGTATTGAGTACAGATTAATTTGGAGCTTAAATTACATTTGGAAAGGTCAGATCTTGGATTGGTTATCACAAATTTAGTCATATTTGTTCCTGTCCGCACTTATAGCTAGGTTATTTGCATATTAGGCTCTATGAAAGTGAGTGCTTGCATGAGAAATGCCACTGTCCTTCTTAAAGGTGGTACTGTTATAAGACTGCCTAAATCTAAATGTACTGAGCCTGTGTGGGACTATTGCTATCCAACCAAACTCTGTTACTGTACGATAATAAACAACTAAAGCTCCCAGATGGGTCAAAAATATTTTATGCATGTCAACAAGCCACAGAAATCTCTCGATCTAAACTGCACCTGGTTTACATTCAGTTACTGAAGGTGGACAAATAAATTGGTTCTGTCCTTCTTTTTTTGAAGGTGCATGAAAATCAGAACTGACAGGAAATTAGCCTCTTCATCTGGAGCAAAGAAGGGCATCTTTGACCGGCTGTGCACACAGTTTCAGAAATTCGGACAGGAGATCTGCAGTGAGTGTGACTCCTTCAAACAAAAATGACACATTGCCTAATTAAAGTGAATAAAGGCATTTTTGTAGGAGATCTTGGTCTGGCTTTCATGTCTAACAAAGATGTTGTAATTGAAGTTGTGCAACTTTTAATCTTTTTTTTTTTCTTCAAAAGAGATCTGTCACGAAGAAACACATTTGACTGGCTACAGACATATCACAATTAGACGATGTATATTTTTTGTGTAGTTCGACATCAAAGAGCAGCATGTTTCTTAAGTAGTTATTGAAGTTATGATATTAAGCTGACTGATTCGTTCTATCTTCCTGTACTCTCAGATGAGGCTTCATCTATGGAGAAACCAGTCAAAACTGTTCAAAAGAGGCAGAAGACAATCACTGGAATGCTAGAAACAGAAGAAGATGGTAAGAAAGCCATTTGCTTACCACAGTAAATAATAATGGCAAATTATTATTCTACCCATAAGCTGCCCTAATGTTACAGTGGAAGAACATTTTCTGTTCTTAAGCATGTTTTTTATGCAGTGTTAAAAAAAAAGTTTTTTCTCTCAGTAATAAGACTAATAAATAATATTTCTAGATGTAATATTTAATAAAAGACTGTAGGTTTGATGATAAATGTAATTGTCTTTTTTGGATTTTTCCAGATGAAAAGCTTTCAACATCCCCTAAGCGAGAGCGGGTTGAGAAGACCGAGGAAGAAGAGACACAAAATTATGAAGAGTGGAAAAGAAAAATTCTTGAAAATGCATTAAAACCAAAGGCAGTAGATTCTTGAACTCTGTAAGGTTTTATGTTTCAGATTTATTTCATTATGGTTCTGCATAATCTCAACAGGACCTTACTTTGATTTGAATTTAATACTCTATTACCAAGAGAAGTTGTCTGCCGCCTCCTGGCTCCGTGTGTAAATTTGTTCCATTTACATATGGACATTTCCAGAGGAATTGAGGCACTTTTTATTATCCTTTGTTTCATTGGCATTTCTTGGTGCAAATATGGTTACCATTTTATGACAGGTTTAATATTGTGCAAAGGTTTACTAATTGTTGAGTTCCTTATTTAGATCATGTGTTTTTAACATGCAGGATTTTATCGTGGTTCATTTAGTTTGTGTTAATGTTTGAATTGTGGTGTTTAATCCATCATGACTGGGATGATTGTCTGGTGACAATTTGTTGCTCACAGTGTTCTGTGGTATTATATCTGTGATAAAATCTCACAGGAGGAGTATAATGCATTCAAGATCATCTGGATGGGTTTTATGCATTTGTTTTGACAAGAAACGGCTTATCTGTTTCCAGTTTAGTTAATTTTATTATGAATAAAATGCATATTTTTGACAATTTAATTCTCTCTTTTTTAATGTTTTGATTAAACACTCATTCTCTACAGGCAATTTGTGACCATCTATATTATGCTGAAAATACCCAATACAATGATTTCTATAGAAGCACATTCTGTGAACTATGACAGAAATGGCAAAACAGGACTGCCCTATAATTCGGTGCTAATTTCTGTGTATGCCATGCCAAGCACAGAACCACATTTGTGCATTTATTTGTGAATATGCTATTACCATATGAATGTTTAACACAAATGCAATAAATTCTTAGAAAGCACAATATTAACATTCAAATATTCCAGAACAACCAGTGAAATGCTTTAAATGCAAATTTAAAAAAATTAAAACATATCATGCCTGCTCTTTATCTCTTGAGTCTCTTACTCAGATTTTGTTTCCAGTTCTAATCAACAGGCTAAAGAAAGATTGAAAATATAGTCTGAATACAGTGTTTCTATACCAAATCTTCATGCTCTGTGTTTTTTACTCAAATAAAAAACAACAATGAGAATGAAAACAGCTTCGTTTAAATTCTAATATAAGTGTCCAAGAAAAACGCCTTCACAGAAGGGACAAAATCTTATTCATGAGGTTCAAAAGCACGCCCCGCAATCCATGCAATACACTCCTGGTCTGAAGGCATGATAAAGTGTAAATTAAATGCAATGGTGTTCCAAACAAGGTAAATTAAGAAAATGTGACACTTTTTAACAAGATGTTTTTCGACTTGCTATAAACAAAGCAAGAACATTTTAAACACTTTCTAAAAAGCCATTTCAAATCTTCAGAAAACAAGTTCACTTTCCAGTGTGCGATGTAACGTGATGTCCTCTCAAGCTACTGACACTGCAGGTTAATAGCTAATTCGGAGTACTAACTGGTTTGCTCTGCTGAAACCTCTTCAACCTGTTTGCTGCAGCAACCGCATAGAAATGTTTCTGTAAAAACAAAGTTACCATAAGAACAGGATCATATGTTATGCTGGTATATGTGGTACAATCGAGCAATTCCATATGTTCTAAATCCATTTAGAATCAAACACATGCACTGACTGTTGATTCTGTACCTTCCACTGGCGGTGAGCAGCGAGGTAACACTGAAGCCTCATCTGAGACTTTAGCCGAACTTTGTACATCTTGGCCTTGTCCTCCAGGTTATTTAGCCAACTATGCTTCATGCACCCTGATGCACTCATAGGGCTGCTACCATAGAGACCACACAGACACACACATTAAGTTCTTAAAAACATCCGGTGCTCAAAGAAACAAACCGTTCCATAAAATGCAGTATACAGTTCAAACCTTTCTGTGTAATGACTATGAATCATACGGTCACTTTATTACACATTTATATATCATATTATGTATATTTCATGTTTTGATTAAAACATCTTTAACGTTTAGCTAAACTGTCTCATTTCAATGGCTGCGCTGTCTGGAAGTGGCATACATATTTGAGGATATCTCATTTAAGAAAAACTATAGCTTAATTATAAAACGTTCTATTCCTTGTGAGGTGTAAATTACTGAAATGTATTTCTTTGCTAGTGTAATGGTTTATTCTCTTAAATGAGACATTCTCAATGCCGTAATGCCACCTCTGGCCTTTGAAATGAGACAGAGCCAACATTTGGCTAACTGTGCCTGCTCCACACTTGCGGTCTTTGCACGTGACTACTTCTTGCTAGTATTTACATTATTTGTACCGGTATTTACAGTATTTGGCCCAAGCTTTTAATAAATGAGAGACAGTTTTGGTTTTAAAATGCAAGTTTTACAGAGCTTTATTTACACGTTTTGATTTTCAATACTTTGCACTTTAAAATAAATTTCTAAATTTCTGTTCAGTCTCTAACAGGCGACACAGTTTATTAGTTTTGGTTCTAATTAAGTGATAAAAAGCTGTTAGATTTTACAAAATACACATAGCCTACTCATCTCTGCACCAATAAAATGTGCAATACTTCATATTTTAATACCTAATTAAATCTGATTATATTAACTTGCACACACTGGATAGTGTTCCTCAAAAATCTAGCAATTTTGGAGCACGTGAGTTTCAAAACATGAGGAATAATGGGATACACTTAGCCTCAAATACCTCTCTAAAGCGGTATTAGCAATAGGGCACTTAGCTTTAGCATTTTTCAGGCCTGGGACAGTCTTGCACTCTTAATTTCTGTTGTATCCACTCGATCAATTGGATTAGACCACAACAAGTTTGGGAAGTCTCTGTGCTTGTTTGGCTAACTGTGCTAATGTTTGGCTAACCGCGCTAACATTTGGCTAACAGAGCCTAAAGAAGTCATCTTTATTTGAGCGAGAGGAACAGATTGTGTCCTGAAAGTGACTGAAAGATATATCTGATCATCCCGACTTTGTAAAACCTGTGCACTACATGAGTGCATTTTTACCAGTAGGAAAGATGTAATCCATCTGATTATTCTAGGCCTACATTATCATCATGCAAATAATCCATTAGTATTCATTGGCTGAAAGCATGAATGTGGGTGATATGAATCACACGACTGGTGTGGGGGACTGTGATGAGGACATTATACAACATTGTCACCACAGATAAAGAGAAGGGGGGAAGGCCAGAGTGAGTGTCATGCTGCGTCTGAATGCACTTTGTCAAAGCGCACTGGATCATTAACTATCACTTTTAGTGCATAGAGTCAGACCGTGGTAAGATAGTGGGCAAAAGGCAATGTGCCCTCTCATGGCCACCTGCTGTGCCAGCCTGCTATTATCTCATGTCATCTGAGCAGTACAGCCCTTGTGTGGGAGAGCTTATCTAAGACGGAGCAACATGAGGGTGAGCTCCAAACACTTTAAAATACACTAGGCCATGTTAACGTCAGCGGCCAATTATATGTCATTTGTGCCTTTTTTTGGTGTACAGCACTGTATTTTGAGAGGTTTCAGTTTTGATGTCAGGATGCATTATAAGGGAACCTGAGCAGGTCAAAGTGGGGCAATGATTGAGAGATGGAAGAGAAAAGTGAGGCTCTTAAAGCCACGAGACAGGTGGCCAGAAAGGAGGAAAAATAATAGAAGACAGGCTACACTGAAGTATGTGCGATAGAAAGCGTGACTTATGGTATATTCTGTACTTCAAGGTTTTGCACTAGTGGAATAATAATGGATGGATGAATACCATTTGGCGGGCACAAGAAGGCTGGAAATTAAGTCTTTGGCTTCTTCTGACACATTCTCAAATGCCTCTGCATCAAAGTCCCAGTTGGCGTGCAGAATGTTGTTCATTGTTTCTGTGTCGTTGTCACCCATGAAGGGAGAAAGGCCGCTCAGACTGGAAAAAAAAGAAGCCATGAAGGGAGTGAATATCCTAGAAATCTATTCACCCTTAGTTTTAAGCTTATCAAAGTATGACATGAAAAAAGGTGCACTTATACCTCTGCTTTTTACCATTCTGATCTACTTTGATATTTTCTTATTGAAGCACTGTGAATATTTTTGGCTTTTCATGATTACTGAATTGTGTTTGTATTTTAAGTTTTGTTTAAATCACCAGTTTAATGAATAAATATTGATACTTAAGGATAGATTTGTTAACAATAAGCATTACAGCATTTATTAAAACAAGTTAATGTTCAATTATATATTATGTTAGTAAGTTATTTAGTTCCTTTACTGTCCACGATTGGAACATTTCTTTGGCTTCAAAACACACCATAACAAGATCAACACAACATAACAATTATACAAGAACAATGATAAAAATAGAAAAATAGAAATAAACTCAACATTTCAATTTAGCATATACACACATATGTAAAACAAACAACAAGCACCCAGCATGTACAACAAGCACTGGGTCATCAGCAGAGCCACACCCCGGAATACACTGATCCATTTGTAAAATTTCAAGTTGTATAAATTAATATTTAGAAATAATTTATATTGAATGAATATGAACTAAGAATTAACAATATTGATATATTAACATTAATAAATGTTATAAATGCTATGCTGATATGATTCCGGATGCATTATGTTAACAAATTAAACTAAACTGAAAGTGTTACTGAACAAAACTAAAACAAAAAACAGAATATAAATATAATAGGGCTGCTATTCTATTGGCCAGAGTAGAGGGTCATCTATGGCCAGCACTGCTCATGGAGAGAGTGATGGGGGCACAGGACCTGAGATGGGATGTTGTGTTTGCTTGCTTGTGTGTACTGTTTTTTTTTCTCTCAGAACATGCTTTTTGAGCTGTTTGGAACTGGTGCCCTTTTATCAGGGCTCTATTCAATGCTCTTAGATGACGTGACATGTGGCCAAGTATGGTGACCCATACTCGGAATTAGTGCATTTATCCCATCCAAAGTGCACACACACAGCAGTGAACACACACACACCGTGAACACACACCCGGAGCAGTGGGCAGCCATTTTTTTGCTGTAGCGCCCGGGGAGCAGTTGGGGGTTCGGTGCCTTGCTCAAGGGCACCTCAGTCATGGTATTGTAGGTGGGAGAGAGCGCTGTACACTCACTCCCCCCACCTACAATCCCTGCCGGTACGAGACTCAAACCCGCAACCTTTGGGTTAAGAGTCCAACTCTCTAATCATTAGGCCACGAATTCCCCCAAGGCTTTTAATCTCGCTGATATTTCAGTCTATGCCACTGTGCAATTCAGTGTGGAAAGAAAGGGTAACTTTTTTTCCAATAACATACATCATTAATGCATATGTACATATTTTATGAATCTTTAATGACAATTTTTGCATACTATTAAATGCTGGAAGTCTGCACAATGTTTTTGAAATACGAAATGCTGCATTAATAGATCAGCCTTACTGCTTCTAGTTGTGTACTCACAGCATGTATGTAATGACACCAACACTCCACATGTCTGTAGGAAATGACACAAAGTCATAGTTGACAACTTCTGGTGCCAGAAACTCTGGGGTTCCAAAGTTGACCTTCAGCTTTTATCTGGGTCTATACCTGGTGGGAGAGGAACAGACACATTTGGCAGATTTGTTTTTGGAATTTAGATTATACCCATATGAAAAAAAACTGACCCAAACTCGTACAACAAACCTTGACGATAATAACACCAGGTTGGGCAGGACCTTTTAAATGAGTTGGCCAAATTACAAATACCACTCAATTATGCATTTTTGCACTCTACAAAATAAAATCAGGAAAAGCAGACCCTTCCTATCTGAGCCAATCTAGAAGTCTAATCTCAAATGATCCCAGTTGCAGCCCACATAACTTCAATGCAACACTATTTGTGTAAGTATAGTCACTGGCTCTGTACTCTCTGTACCTACACTCACTTCTGCAAATTTGTGTTTCTTTCAGAAATCTGAGGGGAGTTTGTGAGTGAAATCCCATGGCGACCTCACAAAGAGGCTTGAAACCACTTTCCCCAAACCTTCATATTCACGGCACCTCAGTGGAAGAATAATCTTCCCTCTCCACTCTTAGAAAACACACAACTCCCCTGTGAGATCTTGACTCATACTGTACTTACTTTATAAAAGCTCTACTTTTCTCTTTTGGTTGTTCCACAGAGTCTCACCTACCTCTGTACTTTTTTTTGTACTTCTCTGAGCAATTCTGGCACTCTGTATTGTGGCATTTCTTATGTTGCTATCTCTGTAGCACGCCTAGCTTTTGTTGTAGTGTTTTTCATTTCTAAGTCATTTTGGATAAAAGTGTCTGCTAAATGAGAAAAATGTAAATCACAGATCCCACAGCAGTGTCTTGCTCACACATGAAGATTCATAAATTACGCAAAATAAAAAGTTTCTAACAGTTACACGGTATATTTCGATGACATTGTAAGGACTCTGATTGTTACAATGCTTTCGAACTCTGAAGCTTAATGTAAACAAAGATGTCAAAAAATGAACACTCATGAAGGAATGTGACTGCAGTCATGGTGACCATGTGCAGTATGTCAGCAGTGATGTGAATCAGAAGACTTGGTGTCAGCTGAAAACACATTATTATTACTGAAATTAGGGAAATAATTATACAAGACTGAGAAATGTGCTTCTTTTTATGCTTAAAAAATATTTCAAAAAATAAATAAAAAATCATGCTAGTATTTATAAGCCAACTTTTAATAATAAGAGGATTTAATGAGGTCTGCTTACTTTCTGGCGAGTCCAAAGTCAATGATCTTGATCTGATTCCCTGTGCTGTTCACACATAAGATATTTTCTGGCTATGTTAAAGAAAATATAAAAAGTAAGGGATAATTGCGATTCAGATTAAAACTGATTATGTATTCATAATTACTTACTTATTGTTACTACAGTATCAACGTAAATAACAATTTTCATGTTTCAAATTAAAGATAGGAAATATTGTTCACACCAAGAATTATCAATTTAACGATAACTATAGTAATGTCTAACCCAATTTATATAATCATTCTGTTTATTGTACGTGTGTGCTACAGTTTTGTCATCTGCCATTTTAAATGCTTGAGCTTTTTAAATCAGGATGACTTCTAACTAACTGTCAGTGTTTTTATCGTTCATCAGCTGGGGAAAAAACCTTCTAAAAGTATTCCAACAATATATTTTCTCTGTGTCATTATCGTTACAGTTCTGGGGTGGACTCTACTGCTATTTAAGACTATATCTATATCATTATCGTTGTTGTCCTTGGTGTGAACAGTCTTTTACTTTTACATAAGCAATATATGTAATGGTATGCATTTCATATTCCTATAAACAACATGTTAACAGCAACACAAAGCACAAGTGCCATGGCAGTATGCTAATTAAAATGTATGACATTCAGACAACAAATGTTGACATACATGTGTAATTCGCTGGTGGATTTTTCCATAGAGAACGCCGACACTATGCGCTGCTAATCCCGTCAGAGTCACATTATAACATTCAGTGCTGTGTGTGCGGTTTAGCTTAAGATCTAAATGGAGAATGTACTGCTGGTGAAGGTACTGAACCCCCTCACAAATCTGCCTGGTAAACACAATGGCATCCAGCTCCGTCAGGTGGTAATTCTCATCAATGATACGTTCAAACAATTCACCACCCTCCACACTGAAATAAACCATGGAAAGGTATTTTAAAATGAACCATCACAAATGAACTCCTCTCTTTTAGTTTAGTCTGTTTGGCCAAGCATATTGACATTAAGTGGCTTAAGCCATGTGAGTGCAAGTATATTTTTAATTTAAGACTCTTTCCTTATATAAAAATATCCATCTCAGAAAAAAGCCCTCATCATTTATAGTTACGTCTTGTACTACAAATATTAATATTCACACAAAACATTCATGTTTCAATTAAAAGCTAATTGTTTGCCAATTCAATACCATCAAAAAATGTGAATTAAATCTGTGAACAAGGCAGGACGATGACACACCATCATGACTGTGTAAAGTGGCATGTGTGGGAGCTCTATGTTCTTGTGACAGAATGTGAGGACCAGGCCAGGAGAGAAAATTTGCTTTGCAAATGAGGCCTAATGAATACTAGCCAAAGCCAAGTTAGAATTAATATTTAGACCAATATTCTACTATATATTTGCATTTTTTCGCTAAATCTTTTTATTTTAAAATAAGCCGTAAATATTTCAATGAACCTTTCTAGTACATTGGGGTACTTACTATTCCATAATGAGTGTGAGATTTGTTCGAGTCTCAAAAGCATCATACAGCTGAATCAAATTCGCATGGTTTAACTGGTTCATTACTCCAATCTCATTCTTCACTTCGTCCTGGAATGAAAGCACAAAAAAGTTAAATAATAATAATAATGCCAAAGCAAATAAATGATCATCTGCAATGCATTTCCTTTTCAAACAGCTAAAGCCTATATTTTAAGCTTTTGAAAAGGTGTTGTTATACTCTCAAAAGGATGATAGCAGCAGTTAAAAATTAGGTCATTAGTAAGAGAAAAGCTATTTCAGAATTTAAATTGCGCAGTTAAATTGCTGGAAGTGGATTTACAATGATTGCATGGGGTAGCAAATACAAGCGTTTAAACAGTTTCCGAAATGGGGGCTTGACAGCCGTTGCCAACCCTGTAATTGTCTGCCCTAGTTATTCTGCCTCTTCCTGTCCGCTATTCTGTGGACTGACCCAGGAAAAGCATTCAATTATTTCATATGAAGCTACTCTCCCTCTCTCCCTGGCACACTTTTGAGCAGACGGTGCATGCAGAAGGAATGGAACATCATGTTGACACTAGGAAGGAGCATTTCAAAATGCAAATGTTTCCAGGAATGATGCTTAGAGCGATTGAGTGTACATATCCTCTATGTGACTGCGTGTTGACTTTCTTGCTCTTTTGACATTTGTGGAATTAAAACATGAGAGACTGAAAATGATCTGTACTTGCCCATTCCTCACTGACTGCTCTCTAATGACGGCAACTGACAGAACAGAGGGCAGAGAATGGCATTTCACTGAGGGCAAGTGCTTATGACAGAAGAGCTGTCATTAGATGTAATCAGCGGCACTTGTTGAAGCTTGGAGGATGTTGGGAACTGATGAAAGTACATACGCAAAGATTTGTATATTTTACATTATATGAAAACAGCTCAGTGTTTGGAGCACTGTAAATATTATGTGCTTTTCTGCATGGATGTATGCTTTTTTTTAATGCAGATACTAGAAACAACATGCGCTTCCATGTCCTTGAGGGACTATGGGTGTTATTGTTATTTGCGAGAGTTCAAGAGCATGTGTGAATGTGTGCACATTTTTTCATATGCTCATGTGCGCAGAACTGTCAGTGGTTGTCCAGAAGGAAATGTTCCCATTAAGCAACCTAACAGGAACAGCGTGATGGACAGATTGGAGTGGGAGGGGAGAGAAAGAGAGAGGGAGAAAGGGGGGTAAATATTTTTGAAACGCTAATGGTTTATGCATATATTGTACTCACCCTCTCTTTCCTTCCCCGGACTTTTACAATCTTAGCAGCCAGCGTAAGACCTGACGACAATTCAGCACACTTGTGTACCTGTCCAAAATGGCCTCTGCAACAACACACATACACACAGATTTCATTTCATGCACTATGGAAATCATTTCAACCTTTGTGAAAGTTATCGGTCAATATTTGCCGTTTTTCCTCTCACTGTGTATTTTATCTGCTGTGTCTCCATGGGGTGAGATAACATGTTTGTGTCAAGATGGCGACTGCTGCTGGCTGAAAATAAGTTCCATGCAAACGGACCTGCTCAACACCTGCCCAAAATAAACTCTGCAGATGATGAGTCAAAAAACAAGCCAGTGCTTATTTGTGGCATATGTGGAGCGAGAGGTGGAGAGGAGGTCCAAATGAGCCCTTGTCTGCTTGTACCAGTCATTCAACTGCTGTATGTTCCATAGGCAGTTGCCTGCATGCTTATCTGCCAGTCCTGGAGAAAGAGTAACCCCCCTCCACTTAATACTCCTATCTGCTGCACTGTTGTCAGCATGACAGACGCAGCTGGGCAAATACAATATATACAGAGAGTGCCAAGAGAAAAATGTTAGCCAGTATTAGATTCGTCTTAAAATTAAAATCTTAGGGCTGGGTTTTGACACAAATTTCACGACTCAATTCAATTATATATCGATTATTTTGGATATATATCAGGTACAGTACATACCAAATTTTCTCAAAGAAAAAAATCTGCTGTAAAATATCAGTTGGTACTACATTACTGTAATATTGAAGGTTAAAATTGACTAATTTGTTAAAACTGCACTTAATGAAGATTTTTAAATAATAAAGTTACAATTACATAATATTTCTACTTCAATTTGTCATATGTTATATGGTGCGTATATTTAGCAAAATGCCCCTCTCTACTTTATTTTTCTAGCAGACTGATGAGTTTATGGTCACTGAATATGTTTTTCTGAGGTACATGTGACGTTAAGTGACATTTACAAGAGGTTATATTGACGTCTTTGCACGGCTGAAACACTGATTGAGCAATTACATGAGACAGGATACGGATTGTAAAGTTGTACTCTTTCTTTTAACTTACCTTCAGATGTTTAGTCATGTTTATTTTGTGCTGAAACTGGTATTAATGTGGAGGAGATGATCAGTTCACATGCGCCTCGCGCTGCTGCATCTGTTGAACTGAGGCGCTACGGCGATCTGTCACTCCACATTAAACAACGCCAAAATGCCATTTATTGTTTAAATACTGCAATACAATGGACAGAACTTGAAATCTGAGACTTTGTTTCATATTAAAAGTACCAAAGCACAATGCTTATTGCGATATATTAGATGGGAAGTGCCCTTCAATGTTCCGTCCATTAACTGAAAACAGGCTAGACTAATCGATTCTTGGAATTTAAGAATCGATATCCTTCCTTAAAAATGAGAATCGATTAATATCGAGATATCGATATTTTTTACCCAGCCCTAATACTGTGTTTATATATATATATGTGTGTGTGTGTGTGTGTGTGTGCCTTCTAGTGGCTTTGACACAGCCATGTTTAGTTTCAGAATGAATCGCGTTTTGAACAAATCGTGTGAACCAATGATTTCAGTAGCCCATAGCCGTTTACTGAATTCCTGAATGAATCAGCCGTTTGAACGAATCGACTCATAAAGACATTTACCGCCATCTGCTGGTAGTTTTAGTTTCTTCTTTAGAGTATCATTTAATTTATTAAAAACACATTAAAGGGATAGTTCACCAAAAATAAATAAATTATGTCATCATTTACTCACCCTCATGTTGTTTCAAACCTGAATGACTTAGGCTACTTTCTTTTGCACAACATAAAAGAAGGTATTTTGAATACTGTTCGTATGCTGTTTTGGTCACTAGTGACTTTCATTGCACGAACAAAACATACTGAGATGTTTCTCAAATTATCTTCTTTTATGTTCCACAGAAGAAAGAAAGTCATACAGGTTTGGAACAACAAGAGGGTGATTAATTTTTGGGTGAGCAATCTCTGTAACACTTGGACTCACCCGCCAAGCAATTTATCGGGGTTGACGGCGTAATATGCGTTCATGGGAACCTGCTTGGCGCTGACGATGCGATGCTCAAACGGGGCTGGAAGAGGTGGAATGTCATCTAAAAAACAAATATCAGCACGCTAAGAGACTTCCTTAAACACAGACACAGGCTGTAGCATGGTGACCTGATGAACGCTGACATCCGGAGTGCTGTTTGCAAAAAGTGTTCACACTGAAGTTTGACAAATTAAAAGCTGCTTAGTTATAATAACAAGTGATGAATTGGATTGGTTGAAAGTTGATTTACAAATGCACATTACTTTCTAAATAGGCCTAACTGATCATTTTTGTCACATTATATTACCGGTGACACTGTTCATCACATGTATCCACTGGTGTCATTGCACAACCCGTGTAGTCCTGACTTCCCAACCATCTCGATTCTTTTTAGTGAATCAAAAAATATACAGCACAACTACTGTAGTCCAACTCCCAAAAGAGTGACTCTTTAGTGAATCACAAACCTACATCACAATGTAATCTGACTCCTGAATGAACTACTCATGAGACGGTTCTTTTAGTGAATCAAAAAATACATTACATCGACTTCCAAATAAATAAATACAGGTAGAATTGTCAAGTTACAGTTTTCATCAATTAAAAAAATGTATTTGAATATTCAGTGCCGAGGTGAATTGTAGTCCGATTCAATAATGTGTATATGGGGTGAAGTTGAATTTATTGCTTTAGTCTGACTGGAATCTGATTTTTAAAGTGCATGTAATTGTTGTGCTCTTGTGAGTTGAAATGCAACACAATTGCATTTAATTTTCTCCCAACTATTTATTTCTTAATAATATCATTAATATTAATATCTGGATTCATATATTTTTTCACAATCCCCATCCCTAGCTAGTGAGGGTTTATCAACACAGAAGAAATTATTTTTTTCAGCTGGCGGTAACACAACGTGAACTCACCAACGATCATTAGCTGTGACTCAGATTTTCTAAGAGGTGACGATTTTGCTTTTCCTCCCTCAACAATGGCTGTTTTTTGTGGACTAGTAGCTGCACAGTTCATTAATGCGTCAGACTCCAAAATCTTCTCTATAGTTTTGTTTTCGTTTTCCTTGTTAGCTGGCTCAGATTCTGTCTTTCCCTCATCATGTATCGGCACAGATGTTAGACTCTCCACTGTCTCTTTTTGTTGTGAATTGACCTCGTCGATAGGCTCTTTGGTGCAGAGCAGAGGTTTGTGAGGAATATCCTTCTCTAGTTGCTGCTGTCCAGGAACTGACGGTTTCAATGAAGCCTCATCACCAACCTGAGAAACCTCAGCCTGTTTTTGAGGAACCTCAACGTTTGGCTCCATTTGTTGCTCAGGAACTATTGACTTGAGTAAAGCCTCCACACCAACCTGTGAAGCATCTGCCTGTTCAAGAGCCCTGTGAATAATCCAAAGAACAACCATTTGATGTGCTGTTCATTCACTTTTTAAAGTTATGTGAGACCTCGATATATGTAATCAATTCAAAAATACGCCGGTAATGGTAGTCAAGAAACGCAGCTTAGTGGGCACATAAGTGGCTTTATACTGGGTCTGTTGTCTATGATATATTATGTGGCTGCACATGAGAGGCTACTGTGAACAACAGCAGCACATGGTCTTTAATTGGAATGTTTTGAATAAAACTAAATGGCCGAAACTCATAATGCCTAGCAACGTGCATTCAGTCACTAGTTACAATGCTGCATAGTATAATCTCAAGACATAGGCCATTAGTCTAATGAATTATGCTTTCCGACAAGCACAACATAGCCTATTATTTGAGGTAGACGGTCTTTTGTGCCTCAGTGCAAAACACACAGCAAACACATTAAAATACAGAGAATTGGAATTACATTATCAGCACTCTGCCTTTTAAAACTCTTATGACAGATGAGAAAAACACGGCTATACGATTGTGCCTTAGGATTTTTTTTTCCACAGGGAGGGATGTACTGCTGTTCTTGATGACAGTTATATTTATTTATTTTCGGGTCTGTTCAGAGATGTTATCATGAGCATTAATTCACTGAAAATGAGCAGGTTACATTTTTCACAAGTATTATTTTATATTTCAACATCTGTAATGATTGTTCTGGCCACTTTAGCAGGGTTAATTACAATCCTCTGTAAATGTGAGGTCTCTAATCTTCTATGTAGTTCTTATCTGTTGGAGAAAAGTGTTTTAAAAAAAGACCATTAGAGCATTAGTGCTCCTCACTGGCATCAGCTGCTATGTAATTATCTCCAAAGGTGGCCAATGACAATGTTCGGTCTTCCGTTATAACCTGTTTTCTTTTCAGCCCATAGTAATTTTTGACACTGACAACATCCCTTTTAAAATTCAAGATGGGAGGAAAATGAGCTAATTTTACAGCATTTTGATTTGAACCTTAAATGGCAGCAATTTGTAGGAATAGCTCACCTCTCTTGCTGAAGAGCCACATCTTTTTCCACTTTAGTTGTTGTCACAGTGACACATTCAGCATTAGCTGGCGCGGCGGCTGAGATATCTGTCTCTTGTTTGGGTACATAATGCACGTCATTCTCCTCCTCCAGCTGGATTTCAGGAGCAAATGTCTGGATCTGTGCAGGTGCTCTGCTTTTCACAGTGACCTCCTTGGCCTTTCTTAAGGCTTTGGAGCTTACTCTTGTACTAACAGGTATCAGAGGTTCGCTTTCACCTGTAAGGGCTTCAGGAAAAGGTAGGCTGCTGGGACCAGTGGGAACAGTGACCTCTGGCTGCAGGAGTTCAGTCTCAGCTGTGATTTGCAAAATCGTACATTGAAATTCATGCAGCAAAAAGCTCTGACATATCATTTTTTCACAAGCTGTCTCTTTAATAAAAACATTTATAGTCCATAATTTGCTGCAGATATATTTTATTCATACCTGAAATTACTTCTGTAACCTCCTCTGAAGTCTGTGTGCACTGGTGGCAGAAACTGTTGTTTGGTGTAATGTTGTTGTCATCTGGTTTGTTTTTCTGTGGATCCAAATGCAGATAGGCTATATTACACTTTTGTTGGGTTTTATGCAGTATTGAATGATTAAAACATTTATTTCACTTTGCCAGCTTTCTTCTAATTGCTGAAACAGACGTGTACATTTTGTAGATATAGTAATAGAATACAGTTGAAATAACAGAACTTAGAGATTCTTTTCAAACATTTTGTCAAACTTTGGATTTGATGTTTTCATGGATTTGATTTCATGTATTTGGCAAAGCTGTACTTAGACACTTCTATGAGTAATTACATCGTGAGAGCTTTAAACATGAAGTGTGTGTGTGAATTATAACCATACACGATGCTTATGCTGATTATGGTGAAGCAGTATTATAATAGTCAACCTGTTGACAGAATGGCACTTCATGCATAGCTTCATGTTCATCACACGGCTCAGAGGGGATTTGTGACAATACATTCCATTTTGTGGTTTTTGGCGTTTGATGCATGAAATGCTTGGTATAATTACACTGTTTGACAACAGATCTGCTCATTACACACAGTGTGGAAGGCTCCATTTTCTAGCTAAGCCAACTATTGCATGATTTTACTTGGATCCAAAAGCAATTTCACCTCATAATTATGAAAGAGATGCAGTCTACAATTAACAATATAGTATCTGTCAATGTACAACCACTCTAGTTAAAAAGAAATGGAATATGTCCTCTAAGTGGTTCTGAAAGCATTGTAAGAGGATAATTCTTAACTTAAAATGTGTGAGATAAAGGTATGGGTTTAAACTGTGGCTTTGCTAATTGCAAAACTGGGTTAACATACACTCAGTCACCATCAGCTCACTCACATATCCACTCTAGGAATTTGAAACACGAGGCCCATTCACCCTTGTCATAGATAAAATAGCAATAGGTAAAGGGTTAGATTTGGCTGTAAACATAACAAGCTCAGCAGTAAGAATAGATAAGCCAACCAATTAAATAGTGGAGAAAACAATGGTTAGGAAAATAGAAGATATTTAAAAACATACACAAACAACTGTGACAGCTGAATATAGCATTGAAAGTTATTATGAATTAGTTACTATGTTATTACTATGTGAAGTGACAACATGTGGCCAAGTATGGTGACCCCATACTCGGAATTAGTACTCTGCATTTACCTATCCAAAGTGGACACACACACAGCAGTGAACACACACCCGGAGCAGTGGGCAGCCATTTATGCTGCGGCGCCCGGGGAGCAGTTGGGGGTTCGGTGACTTGCTCAAGGACAAGAGTGGTATTGAAGGTGAGAGAGAGCACTGTACATTCACTCCCCCCACCCACAATCCCTGCCAGTACGAGACTCGAACCCACAACCTTTGGGTTATGAGTCCGACTCTCTAACCATTAGGCCACAAATGTTATTCTCTAACCATTAGGTACAGTAATGTTATTACTAAGTTACTATGAATTAAAAAAATGGGGGTTTCAGTTTTGTGTATTTTGACCATTGTAAATGCAGTAGCATGAACTACTATCATACTCTGTCATGCTACTTTAAAATAGATTTAGGCATCTTATGAAGAGTAAAGACAACTACCACACTGAACTGCTACGCATTTCATCTTAATAAAATGGTAACATGCATAACATATATAGTTATTGCAAAGATCTACTGCAACAACCCAAAAAAAAACAAACTGATGATAAGCAGAAAATGAGTTCTAAACAGTATGTTCAGTTCTTCGTGAGCTCCTTTTAAAAGAAACAGTCAATATTACATTAGGTATTATTTCACCCTGCACGCTGTTTTGACGTGTACATTTTGTAGATATAGTAATAGAATACAGTTGAAATAACAGAACTTAGAGATTCTTTTCAAACATTTTGTCAAACTTTGGATTTGATGTTTTCATGGATTTGATTTCATGTATTTGGCAAAGCTGTACTTAGACACTTCTATGAGTAATTACATCGTGAGAGCTTTAAACATGAAGTGTGTGTGTGAATTATAACCATACACGATGCTTATGCTGATTATGGTGAAGCAGTATTATAATAGTCAACCTGTTGACAGAATGGCACTTCATGCATAGCTTCATGTTCATCACACGGCTCAGAGGGGATTTGTGACAATACATTCCATTTTGTGGTTTTTGGCGTTTGATGCATGAAATGCTTGGTATAATTACACTGTTTGACAACAGATCTGCTCATTACACACAGTGTGGAAGGCTCCATTTTCTAGCTAAGCCAACTATTGCATGATTTTACTTGGATCCAAAAGCAATTTGACTTCATAATTATAAAGCGATCCAGTCTTCAATTAACAATATAGCATCTATCAATGTAAAACCACTCTGGATAAAAATAAATGGAATATGTCCTCTAACAAGCGGTTCTGAGTGCATTTCAAGAGGAAAATTCACATTTCTATACACTGAATATAAAATATGTGCTTTAAAGGTATGGGTTTATGGCTTTGCTAATTGCAAAGCTGGGTGAACATATACTCAGTCACCAACAGCTCAGTCACATATCCACTCTAGGAATTTGAAACACGAGGCCCATTCACCCTTGTCATAGATAAAATAGCAATAGGTAAAGGGTTAGATTTGGCTGTAAACATAACAAGCTCAGCAGTAAGAATAGATAAGCCAACCAATTAAATAGTGGAGAAAACAATGGTTAGGAAAATAGAAGATATTTAAAAACATACACAAACAACTGTGACAGCTGAATATAGCATTGAAAGTTATTATGAATTAGTTACTATGTTATTACTATGTGAAGTGACAACATGTGGCCAAGTATGGTGACCCCATACTCGGAATTAGTACTCTGCATTTACCTATCCAAAGTGGACACACACACAGCAGTGAACACACACCCGGAGCAGTGGGCAGCCATTTATGCTGCGGCGCCCGGGGAGCAGTTGGGGGTTCGGTGACTTGCTCAAGGACACCTCAGTCGTGGTATTGAAGGTGAGAGAGAGCACTGTACATTCACTCCCCCCACCCACAATCCCTGCCAGTACGAGACTCGAACCCACAACCTTTGGGTTATGAGTCCGACTCTCTAACCATTAGGCCACAAATGTTATTCTCTAACCATTAGGTACAGTAATGTTATTACTAAGTTACTATGAATTAAAAAAATGGGGGTTTCAGTTTTGTGTATTTTGACCATTGTAAATGCAGTAGCATGAACTACTATCATACTCTGTCATGCTACTTTAAAATAGATTTAGGCATCTTATGAAGAGTAAAGACAACTACCACACTGAACTGCTACGCATTTCATCTTAATAAAATGGTAACATGCATAACATATATAGTTATTGCAAAGATCTACTGCAACAACCCAAAAAAAAACAAACTGATGATAAGCAGAAAATGAGTTCTAAACAGTATGTTCAGTTCTTCGTGAGCTCCTTTTAAAAGAAACAGTCAATATTACATTAGGTATTATTTCACCCTGCACGCTGTTTTGACGTGTACATTTTGTAGATATAGTAATAGAATACAGTTGAAATAACAGAACTTAGAGATTCTTTTCAAACATTTTGTCAAACTTTGGATTTGATGTTTTCATGGATTTGATTTCATGTATTTGGCAAAGCTGTACTTAGACACTTCTATGAGTAATTACATCGTGAGAGCTTTAAACATGAAGTGTGTGTGTGAATTATAACCATACACGATGCTTATGCTGATTATGGTGAAGCAGTATTATAATAGTCAACCTGTTGACAGAATGGCACTTCATGCATAGCTTCATGTTCATCACACGGCTCAGAGGGGATTTGTGACAATACATTCCATTTTGTGGTTTTTGGCGTTTGATGCATGAAATGCTTGGTATAATTACACTGTTTGACAACAGATCTGCTCATTACACACAGTGTGGAAGGCTCCATTTTCTAGCTAAGCCAACTATTGCATGATTTTACTTGGATCCAAAAGCAATTTGACTTCATAATTATAAAGCGATCCAGTCTTCAATTAACAATATAGCATCTATCAATGTAAAACCACTCTGGATAAAAATAAATGGAATATGTCCTCTAACAAGCGGTTCTGAGTGCATTTCAAGAGGAAAATTCACATTTCTATACACTGAATATAAAATATGTGCTTTAAAGGTATGGGTTTATGGCTTTGCTAATTGCAAAGCTGGGTGAACATATACTCAGTCACCAACAGCTCAGTCACATATCCACTCTAGGAATTTGAAACACGAGGCCCATTCACCCTTGTCATAGATAAAATAGCAATAGGTAAAGGGTTAGATTTGGCTGTAAACATAACAAGCTCAGCAGTAAGAATAGATAAGCCAACCAATTAAATAGTGGAGAAAACAATGGTTAGGAAAATAGAAGATATTTAAAAACATACACAAACAACTGTGACAGCTGAATATAGCATTGAAAGTTATTATGAATTAGTTACTATGTTATTACTATGTGAAGTGACAACATGTGGCCAAGTATGGTGACCCCATACTCGGAATTAGTACTCTGCATTTACCTATCCAAAGTGGACACACACACAGCAGTGAACACACACCCGGAGCAGTGGGCAGCCATTTATGCTGCGGCGCCCGGGGAGCAGTTGGGGGTTCGGTGACTTGCTCAAGGACACCTCAGTCGTGGTATTGAAGGTGAGAGAGAGCACTGTACATTCACTCCCCCCACCCACAATCCCTGCCAGTACGAGACTCGAACCCACAACCTTTGGGTTATGAGTCCGACTCTCTAACCATTAGGCCACAAATGTTATTCTCTAACCATTAGGTACAGTAATGTTATTACTAAGTTACTATGAATTAAAAAAATGGGGGTTTCAGTTTTGTGTATTTTGACCATTGTAAATGCAGTAGCATGAACTACTATCATACTCTGTCATGCTACTTTAAAATAGATTTAGGCATCTTATGAAGAGTAAAGACAACTACCACACTGAACTGCTACGCATTTCATCTTAATAAAATGGTAACATGCATAACATATATAGTTATTGCAAAGATCTACTGCAACAACCCAAAAAAAAACAAACTGATGATAAGCAGAAAATGAGTTCTAAACAGTATGTTCAGTTCTTCGTGAGCTCCTTTTAAAAGAAACAGTCAATATTACATTAGGTATTATTTCACCCTGCACGCTGTTTTGACGTGTACATTTTGTAGATATAGTAATAGAATACAGTTGAAATAACAGAACTTAGAGATTCTTTTCAAACATTTTGTCAAACTTTGGATTTGATGTTTTCATGGATTTGATTTCATGTATTTGGCAAAGCTGTACTTAGACACTTCTATGAGTAATTACATCGTGAGAGCTTTAAACATGAAGTGTGTGTGTGAATTATAACCATACACGATGCTTATGCTGATTATGGTGAAGCAGTATTATAATAGTCAACCTGTTGACAGAATGGCACTTCATGCATAGCTTCATGTTCATCACACGGCTCAGAGGGGATTTGTGACAATACATTCCATTTTGTGGTTTTTGGCGTTTGATGCATGAAATGCTTGGAAAACTGATGATAAGCAGAAAATGAGTTCTAAACAGTATGTTCAGTTCTTCGTGAGCTCCTTTTAAAAGAAACAGTCAATATTACATTAGGTATTATTTCACCCTGCACGCTGTTTTGAATTTGTCCTCATTTTTAGGGACAGCTCTAGCTGAAGTAAACAGCTTGGAAATAAACAGCTCTGATTTCACCTCATTCTACATTATCTGCTCTGTTACGCTGAGTAGCACATAACCTCTGTGTTTTTCTGTTTATCTGTTTGGAACAGAGATCTCGGATGACCAGGATCTTACCGACCTCTTCCTCCACAGTATCCAGAAGGCCTTGTTTCCTCCAAGGCACCACACCATTGAGGATGAACTCCACTATCTTTGAGTTACGGAAAGCATTCCCCACATACCCTGATACTTTCTCCAGAGTGGACAAAGACATTTCCATGCATTCAATCTTCTTTCTCTGCTGCTGGTTCTCATGCTTGAGATTATGAAGCAGATCCACAGTTTCACCACAAAGCGATCTGACCTCTGTCAGCAAAGGAAGTTTGTTGCTCTCTCGCTGACCATTTTTAATCACGTTTGCTTCTTGAGCACCCTGCTTGTGCTGCATAAGGCTCCTTTCTAGCGCCTCCATTCCTTGGCACAATGAACTCAGCTTGTGAAGGACCTCCGTCTGGGTATGTTCGATCTGTTCCACCTTCCCTTCCAGGGCGTTTAACTTGACCTCCACATTGCTCAGGCTACCTATCAGAGTTGGACTCCGCTTCTTGACTGTCCCAGATGGAGTTCCAGAGTTCTCCAGCCTGCCTCCTTCATACAACTTGGCAATACAGGTGGCCAGAGTTGCCTGTTTACTCATTGCTGGCCCCGGTCACATGCACTGAGAAAATGTAGAAAAAGAAGCCCCACTGATCCCTCCGCACCCTATTTCTGTTCCCCTGTGGTCTCTATGCTTGTCTCAGGTATTGTGTGCCTCTCACGAAACAGACAGCTCAGACAAACCCTGTTGTTGGTATGTGCCAGAGACATGACACCACTTAAATAAACACCTCCATTGGGTATCTTATCTCTCCACTTCTATTTTCCTCCCCCTCTTCTCTTCTCTTCTCTTTCTCTCTCTCTCTCTCCTATACTCTGGGACAGGCCTTTTATATGACCTAGTGGGCCTTGGTGACTGCCAAAGTTCCAGCGGTCTCTTGACGTCACCAAAACATTTAAACTTTCTTCAGTAAATGCTGCTGACAGGTGAGCATGAATGGAATGACCTCTGTAAATGGCCGGTCATTAGGTAGAGGAAAGAAAGATGAAATCTCACTCTTTCATGTTCTTATCACGCTTTCTTTTTAAATTCATTGTTACACAGTTGCATCCGTCTTCCTTTGAGACTCAACCACTGGATCCACCCTATGCTAACTATATATCACCTATAACACCCTTCTCATTGGAACGTGACGTGACATTGGCTGACATTTTAAGTAAAAATAAACCTCATGGACACTGGTATGAGGATGAATGATATGCTACAACTGTCTCTCTCTCACCTCATCTGGAATCCAGCCATAGTTAATCCTGGGTCTTTCCATTAGCTGAATCATTACAACAACATAATGATAACCAGAAATGAAATCATTTAAAGAAGAAAACATCCCTAGACAAATTTCCTCAAATAGTATACATTCATTCAAAATATAAAATATCTACTACCTACGTCTATTACTAGTTAAATTTACACTTTAGTTAACATTATAATTATTAGCTAATGTATCATGAATAGACATGAGTTAACAAACAGCTATAGCAGATTCGTAAGTTATGTAGACTAATTGATCAATTAACCTAGACTGGAAAAACTGAATGTTATTGTAACGTTTCACCCTATTTTCTATTAAATCTATTAAGAGGTTTTAAAGAAATTATTAGGTAAACAAGCAAACAACAATTTTTTAGTCTAGAAAATCATGTTTATTTACTTAACATGTCAAAAGCTCGATGCAGCTCAGATGGTAGCACATAATGTTATCAAGGTCATGGGTTTGATTCCCACTGTAACAAGTGATCAAATGTATAGCTTGAATGCAATGTAAGTTGCTTGGGATAAAACCGTCAACCAAATGTATAAGACACCTCTAATAAAGGGGCTTCTAGAGATGGGAACCTTGAACTCTCTGGATGTTCTGTCTGTAATGCCATTGCCCCATGTGTAAGCCAGGGACTTTTTGTCTGTATCCTTCTATAAGAGTTTTCTGCTGTGTTCGGATGCCAAGACACAATACTCAAAATATAGTATAACCTTATTATGCAATAGCGATAGAGACCAGGGTCAGGACAGCCACAGGAATGTGGCTCCATGCTGACTATTTAGTGGTGGTGGGGATCCGTTATTACAAGCTGGCACACCATAAGCAACTCAATTTCCATTCCACAACAGGACTCGGGCCAGTAAGATTGCTAACATCACTGGGAAAGAATATCTGTTTGGCAGAGATAAGCATAACTATAACACTGCTTAATATATTAAAACCTCTTTGATCACACAAGCATGTTGAGTACAGAATGTGCGTTAAGAAGGGAAATGCAAGTATGCTGTTAAACTGCTGTACTTGTGGTACATCGTCATCCTGATGGAGACGATATGGTATTGAAGGGCTCTGTCAAGTTAATGGATGTATGCTGTTGTCCATAGTGGTGTTTAGCCTTGCCCTTTCTGAAGGGAATGTTTGCACTGTAGTCTCATTTTACAATCCCTTCTGTGCCCTCACATAAATGTTTGAGATGGCAGGGATCCTTAGCATTAAAGGTTGAAAGAGCAGAAGAGTCTGTATTCCACTTCTCCCTCTGACAAAAGCGCTCAGGGTGATGGTATGTAAATTTGATGCAAATCCCATTACCGTTCAGGCCATTCAATAAAAACTCACTCTGAGTGCTATAAAGTGTCAAGATGAATTAAAATTCAATCAAATGTCATCTATTTAACAGCCCGAACTAAATATGCTTGCTTGAAATAAATTGTTTTTCTTCTTCACTCACCCATACAAGCTAATTGCCTTTTCATGTTTTCTCTTTGTTCAAAGAAAGGAGATGGAATTGTGCTGTCCAATGTACATCTTTAAAAGGTTACAGACAATGCGCAATTTGTCAAAAGGCCAAAAGGGCACCAGTGTCAAAAACGCGTGCAACAATTTGTGAAACAATGCTGAGATGATTTGCCACAAAAAAAGAAAAGAGAAAATGACAAAGGGCATACAACTAAAACAACAGCTCAAGAAAGAAGCTTCATCAAAGTACGCCGATCAAGTACTTAAAGCAATCCCATATTCTCCATGTGAGAGGTAAAGGCAACCCTGAACATGTTTGTTAGTAAAAATGAGTAAAAACCTCCTCCTCAGAATAACAAACCACTTGAATTAAAAGTAGCTTACATATGCAAACAAAAAAGTTTTTCTTAAGAGTCCTAAATTAATATTCACATAGATAAGGTGAGATTTAAAATATTTATTTAACTCCCTAAAATAGTAGTTTATTTTTTTTAAATGACAATAATCTAAAAGTAACTGCATATAGTTATGTTATTATAAGACATATATCTATAACATTATAAGAAAAATCTAAAAATATATTCTATAAGCACTGAATTTTCTCATCCCGTTTGCACAAAAGCAGGATCTTACGGTGAATTTGTAGTCCGACACACTGAAGCCACCTGTGCTGAGAAGCATTGATCTGTACAGAGAGGTCCCCATCATGCATTGCCCTGTTGTCCTGGGTTAGTAGGACTCAGTGGACTCCATTGGGCTGCTACGAGCAACGAATATTCCCCAGACCCGGACTCTCAGGGTTCTGTAACATTCTGGAGTGGACAGATCACCTCTCAAACACTAACTATCTTATCACTTTCAGCCCGTTTACTGGGTACGCGCCCCCCGTCACGGCAGTGGGCCCAGAAAGCACTTCCTGCTTAGAGATAACAGCTGCCTGAGATTAGTGTGAGTATGCTGGAAATGTGAGTGTCCTGTTTTATTAATAGGTCTCAGATTTGTCTTTTTGTTTTGGGACCATCCCCACGGGAAGTCTTCCTCCCTGCAAAGCCAGGGTGGATGGAGGGATGGCGATTCCTAAATTAATATTCACATAGATAAGGTGAGATTTAAAATATTTATTTAACTCCCTAAAATAGTAGTTTATTTTTTTTAAATGACAATAATCTAAAAGTAACTGCATATAGTTATGTTATTATAAGACATATATCTATAACATTATAAGAAAAATCTAAAAATATATTCTATAAGCACTGAATTTTCTCATCCCGTTTGCACAAAAGCAGGATCTTACGGTGAATGTACAGAGAGGTCCCCATCATGCATTGCCCTGTTGTCCTGGGTTAGTAGGACTCAGTGGACTCCATTGGGCTGCTACGAGCAACGAATATTCCCCAGACCCGGACTCTCAGGGTTCTGTAACATTCTGGAGTGGACAGATCACCTCTCAAACACTAACTATCTTATCACTTTCAGCCCGTTTACTGGGTACGCGCCCCCCGTCACGGCAGTGGGCCCAGAAAGCACTTCCTGCTTAGAGATAACAGCTGCCTGAGATTAGTGTGAGTATGCTGGAAATGTGAGTGTCCTGTTTTATTAATAGGTCTCAGATTTGTCTTTTTGTTTTGGGACCATCCCCACGGGAAGTCTTCCTCCCTGCAAAGCCAGGGTGGATGGAGGGATGGCGATATAACGAGGATGCTGGAGGTCAGACCAGACTTCAGTTTCTCTTATGCTGTTGTAGGAGAATAGGAGGAGAGACTGTGTGTGCTTGTAAGGGATCTGATCTCATGCACTGTCCCAATTTGAGATGGATGCATCAGTTGTGCACCGATGTGTAGGCATCAAGTAGCCTAAGCCTTTCCTGAAAAGGAATCTGAAAGAGCTGGAGCAAGATAAGAGAGCTTGTTCATCTGGGGTTAGAAGAGCCCAGAGCTACACTACAAGTAGGCAAAGCACCATGCAGGTTATTTGGTGGCTCTGGTTTTAGAGGCAGATATGTAAAGCCCCAGGAGGCTGACGGAAGAAAATCCATCTCTGATTGGTGGCATTGTTCCCGGTCTGAAAACATTTCTCTTCATGGCTGGCTACTATTGTCTCTATAACACCAGTAAGAACTGAGCATGTCGGTGCATGTCAGCTGTGTTTATATGTAACACAATTACAGTGGTATGATGCTAATAAAAGCAGTTTCTATAAAAACTGCGTAAATGAAAAAGCTTCCAGAATCCTGTCAAGAAGTGGGGTGGATTAATTCACTGTAGCTTCACTAGTGAAATGACCGGTGTTATGAAAACCTCCATATAACTGTAACTTGTAATTAGAGGCAAACATCTTCATCCTATGATTTGTTCATAGGGCTTGTTAAACTATGTGGGTGGTGCTCCAGATGGCACTGAAATGCTTTAATGTTAAAACAATAATGTGATTCTGTGACAGGGCTGTTGTTCCTGTTAGTAATGGGACAGGTGGCACAAGTATGGCGTCTAACATGACTCACACGCACTTTTGTCATCACGATGCTCTTTTATATGACATGGATTTTAATGACTCAATTTGCGCCACACCAGCACCGCCTGTTCTGACCTTCACTGATAAAACTCCTGAAATCACAATATCTGTGTAGTATGATTACAGCAACTTCTCTAAAATATTTCTTAATGCTTAAGATATTTGAAATGCTACTAAACGTTCCTCTTTAAGTTTTTGCTCATTTACTGCTTGACCCAACAGACAAGACGCATTTAAACTATGAAATGGAGGGGGGGGGGAGAACCTTTTTTGGATGACGCAAAATTAGAAAATATAGATTCAAACTGGATAAAATGATAGAAACAGTGACGGACACCGAAAATAAATGCCACAACGATAGCGAAAAATGGTGTTTGCAAAAACAGGAAAGAAACCTGTAATCAAACATCATTCACAAGATCCCGTCAAAGCACACTCACTCATAATGCTTTCACTGAGCAAACATTGACAAAAGCACTTTTCAAAGCAACAACCCTTTTTGTCCGCTTAAGGAAGTACTTTTGTTTATATTCATATTCAAACGTTCAAAGAAATGTGTTGGTTCCACTTACATTAGTCTGTATCTGAGCATATAAATTCCAAAAAGATATTTATTTAAATATATTTACAAATATTCCAAGAAAAGTTGATCAAATAACGTTTATTATTATTATTGTGGACAATTAAATTGACATTATTTGACATCACTGTAAATGCAAATGAAAAAATAACAGCAATTAAGTCACCCTGGATGCCTACATTTCTTCATGTTAATGTTTATCGTGACCATCAATCTATAATGATTACTGTTTGCACATTACCCTTTTCTTCCTCCTGCTTCTTCAGTCCAACAGTTTTGGGTCTGCCTCTTCCTCTGCGGATTGGATCTGACTGACTGTTGGAATGGGGTCGCCTCCTATTTTCCATATCACTGGTAGGTGTTAAATTTATCTTCTCTTTTCTGATTCGTTCTGTTCGTCTTCTCTTTGCGTCCAATTGGTCTGAAACACAATCAGAAGGTTATAATATACAGTAATTGGTGTTGATACATTCATATTCTAGATACACAAACTAGCCACACCATCTCATACACAGTTTTAACACAAACAGCAGCTCTTGTTTTCCTCACATAGTCTTTAAACCCATCCCCCAACCATTATTGACAGACTAAAAAGCCAAAAGAGGGTCTGAGTGCGAGTCCACATGCAAATCAGCAAATGATGTAAAAAGCACAGCCATATGCAGAGCCACAATCAGAGAATTAAAAGCTCGTTACTAAAGGAAGTAGGCCTGCGTCTCTCTGAGGGAGTTTATTTATAGGACTCTTCTTCAGGCTTCAAGTAAACGTCATTAGTAACAGACTCTAGCAACCCTGTGTGAAGAGAGCTCATATGAGTGACTACACCTGAACAATAATAATAATAATATATTGAAAGCTTTTTAAAAAGAAACAGCCTACATACAGAATCTGGCCAATTCTATACATAATTTGTCAAAGATCTTACGTAAAAAGAAATGACAGGGGGTGCTTTTTTTAAATCATTATATATTGTTGCTCTAAATGTATAAAGGAAACTGTATATATTAAGTGTTATGACTTTTCCCCAGCATTTTATGTTCATTAAATATTTTTATTATATTTTATGCTTCTTACAATTTTTTTCATTGTTCACTCATTTATTTTGGTGTGACAAATTCATTTGAATACATATACTCCACGTAGCCTCTCAAACAATATGAGTTAAAAGTTGCATTCATAAAAATTATTACAATTATATATAATAATATATATAAATTAAATGTATTAAATACAATTATTAATTATTATTTTTTCATTAGAAACATGCCGTTTAAAAATATTTGTATATGAAGTACAGCACGTCAGCTTTCCAAAAATAATCGAGCACTAGAATGATTTATGATTTAATAATCTTGGTGTAACTCAGTTCTGTGAATCTCTAGTGGGAACCTTCTGTCCCCAGCAGATATTTTAAATATTTAGATAATCAAGTATTTCCATGGCAGCCATTTGATTCTAAACGCTGTGATAAGATCTTCTTCTGCTCACTCCCTTTACAGGCCTGCTGTACGACTGCACGTTAACTCAGGAATCCAGGCCCTGTCAATAACCTGCACTAACAAGAAGAGCTCTGTTCTACAGCTCATTAACACTGCGTAACTCCTTCACAACTAGGACACAGTCATGAAGACGGGGTTGCATCATGTGTGAATATTATTGTAAAATATCTGGCAAGCTTGGCTATAAATTTGATCCAATATTCTTATCACATTTGTCTTGTTTCATGTTGCAAACAACACCATTTTTTAAATAAATGTCTTATTTAGGCTTTCATTTAATATTTTAAATTAAATTAAATTTAAAAAATTCTGAATTAAAATTCTCTTTCCAAGAAGCAAACAATGCAAGGGCAGGCAGGGCACTCTAAATAAAGTCTGTCCTATTTCATATTGAGCACATTATTCTTAGCAGAGTGCAGGGGAAACCCTGAATAAATACTTCTGCTAAAATGGAAATGTTTCGTTCAGAAGAAACTATGGCTACACCCTTCAAATAATATAATACAAGTAGAATCTCACACCCTTCACATATTTACTAATTCATTCCTTATGTGACTTGCAGAAAGCTCAGAATTATTTGTACAGAAAAATGTCAAAATGGGAAGAAGTGGGGAAATCAACGTATACATCACACCACAGTAAACCAAAAAAAATTCTGAATTAAAATTCTCTTTCCAAGAAGCAAACAATGCAAGGGCAGGCAGGGGACTCTAAATAAAGTCTGTCCTATTTCATATTGAGCACATTATTCTTAGCAGAGTGCAGGGGAAACCCTGAATAAATACTTCTGCTAAAATGGAAATGTTTCGTTCAGAAGAAACTATGGCTACACCCTTCAAATAATATAATACAAGTAGAATCTCACACCCTTCACATATTTACTAATTCATTCCTTATGTGACTTGCAGAAAGCTCAGAATTATTTGTACAGAAAAATGTCAAAATGGGAAGAAGTGGGGAAATCAACGTATACATCACACCACAGTAAACCATTTAAACAAAGAACATTTGTGCAGAGCATTCCAGTCATAACTCAATGTAACAATCACAGGCTGAGCCTGCGCCGCCAAAAAACGCAATGCACACGCCAGCTGGGCTTTGAACAATAAAAATCATAAATCTTCAGCATGCTTGAGACTATCTGCCTATTTGATATGTACACAATGAGACATTGTTTTCTAGCTTATACAATATAATACTCATGACTGACCCCAAACCTGATTTTAGTGCTTAAATATGAATTCCAAATAGCAGAAATTCAAATGAATCATTTTAAAATCCCAAGTCTACCAAATTATTGTGAAAAAAATGCACACTGAAATGCGCTCAAACTATAAGCCACACAGTTGTCACATTTTATCAAGATCACGACAACCCAAGCTGGCCTCTTAACACTTATATAACACACTTTTAAACATTTATACAGACGTCATTTTGTGACATCACTTCTCAAAAATCCAACAAACTTAAAATACAACAAACCTTCAGTTCAACTTTGAGAAATGCATTTTGTATAATTTCATGTGCGATTTTATACATGACTTGATGTATCATAAAAATGAGTCAACTGAAATACTGTGACTAGTTTCTTGATAAGACGGGAGCGGGTGGAGGGAGGGAGAGAGAGAGAGAGACGCGGCAGGAACAAGCTTTTCAGACAGGAATTAGTTTGCCCTTCCCCCATCTCTCTAAGCACTACTCACTCAAGCAAACAGCCATCACTGCACCACTCATTTCTGTATTTCTGTAACGCATCCTGCTGACTGGAAACTTGCCTGCTATTTATTTCCATTCACTAGGCCAAAGAGTCCAACACATACAGATAGTATGTATAAAAAAAATTTTTTTTTTAATTCTGTTTTGTTTTTTCTTTTTCTTCAATCAACATGACTCACGAGTATATCCTGAAGACACAGGCTAAATGTGGCCGACTCATATGGGTAGATAATATTAAAGCAATGAAATGAGCAAGTGTTCATTTTTCGGATTAATATCTGGAATTACATTCCATTGTAAGAAATTTAAACATCAATTCCACAGCCGTCACTTCCCAGATCAATAGTCACATTACATCTTGTTAAAGGCCACTTGATAAATATTTTAACAGTACATAATTTAGCATAACATAATATAGGAATGATAAATATATGGGGGTTTCAGAAGCATAAAACATATAAAAGATGCACAAGTTACCCATTACTGGAGACCTCTCATTTAATTTGGCATTGAGAAGCTTTCGGCTTATGAAGACGTAGCCACAAGGACAGGATTTACAAGCCACAGGAATCTGAGAGAAACAGAAAGAGAACTCAATGAACTTCAGTACACACTGAAATGTATGTAATGACTGACTAAATATTTCACAACACTTGAGGAAGAGCACTTCAATATTACGCATTTACAAAGGGGTAAATAAATATGGAGTGCCTTATAAAGTCACCACTGATGTGTCCTTTGACTGACACTGACTCCACAGTAAACAGGAAACAATACCCTGATCGTTTTCTGCAGCTAAACTGATACAGTGACACAAAATACAGTCTTATGAAACGGTCTGCAATGAGGTGAGTTCTGTTTGTTCAAGGGCAAAATAAACAAAAAATAGTTCATCGTTTACATGTCAAAACCAGCATTAATATATAATTGTATCATCATTAGAAGTGGCTGAAGCCTTTAGATAATAACATGCACATTTATAAGCAGTTGAATTCTTCTTCGTGATATTAAACGAGGCGAAAACAGACTGCATGAAAGCTATGAATTGTAATTGTTTCAGTGCAGCAAGCTGGATATCCTTTAACAGCCTTACACGTTTTCATCGCCAAACTAAGATGGAAACCAAATTCGGTGGCTTATTATGTGATACGACACATAATATCAATAAAACCACTTCAATACAATCGACAAAATGTGAAAACCATATTTCACATCACGTAGCAACCTTGTTTGTAACTCACACAGCTCTAATAAATAACTTAACCTTATTAAAGCACACATTATACTAAAGATAACAATCCGGCGATTGAGAACTTGAGCAAAAACACAAATATATCATTCATTGACAAACAACAGCTCACCTGTTGGTCACACTCCGGGCATGATTTGGTGGCCATTTTCACTTTCTTCACTTTGTTTGTAGACATATTTATAACGACGGGCTTCAATAATATCCCTTGATCTCGGCGATCGTACTGAAAAACTTCCAGCTGCACTAACGCACACAGAGAAGTGCAGCTGATCAGGAGCTCAGACACACACACAAGCCGCAGGATCATCAATCGCTCGATACAGACTGCGCATGCGCGGCGCTGTAGAGGCTCGCTCGGTCCCTGGCTGCCAGCTCACGTGATCCACAGCTAGCGATGGAAAGATTAGCACATTTTTTTTGTTGTTTTTACACATTCTAAAGTTGAGCACTGTGCGTCAAAAAAAGCAGCTTTGAGAGGGAGAACGGCAATAATAAATATTGTGCTGTCCAGATATTTCCTTTATGCAGCCAGCACTCAAGGAGCATGCGCACTGCAGCACGACAGTCACATGGGTGAAGAACAATAACTGCTGATGTGGGTGAGATAGATATGCTGGTTGAGACACTGCCATCACTTTTTAATATTATAGCTTGATGAAAACAATTGTTCGATGCGACGAAAACTGTCAATATTGACAAATCTGACTTATAATTTATAATATCCTCACATGAAATACTTCAATAAATGGCACCATGTGATTAATGTTGTTTTTCTTTTTATGATTACTTGTATTGTGTAACTGTAAATGCTTGTGCGGAAGTGTGTGAGAACATTAGATTATAATTGTAATCTGTATTACCTTTTCCTGTACCAAAAGCACTATAATGAAAAAAATTTCCTCACATTGATTTGCAAACTACTCTTGAGGCTGAAACACCAACCTTAATGAACAAATGCTTTTCTGTTTGCTGTAGGCTATAATCAGTCTCTTTTTCATAAGTTACTTGCTTGCACAATGTCATATCAAAGTTCACTAGAATAAGTATAACAAACTTGTTTTAGCTTAATGAAAAAGCTGCACGACTAGTTGTGCAAGATGAGCTTGGGAAGATTACTCTTTAACAACAAACATTCTGTGAACAATATTTTCAACAACCTGGCAAATTGATCATAGCTATAACGATTCAAATATTTCTCAGGGTTATCTGGGCTGTCCATTACATAATACATGTTACATGTCACATTTCATTGATATAAGGACTCTAAGCTACTCATTAATGTCATTGTATAATTAGGCTGTGAAGTGATGTGCTTTGTTTTTTTTTCAATATCTTTATGTTCCTGATAGACAAGATCTTCAGCTCAGTTATTATAGGCCTATTAATGTTCTTAGCAGCTGTTTTCATATAATTGGCTTACAATGCAATCACATTTCGTGCATGTCTTCTGCTTTTTGTGCTCCAGTTAATGTTTTTGTTCTGTTGTTAAGGACAAAACTCAGCTCCTCATCCCCACCTACTGCTAGACTTTTTTATACTCTTTATATATCTGACAACATGGGATACAATCGAAACATTTGAAACGTGTACAGGAATATTTTTTGTTTGTAATACAATAAAAAAGTAAGAGATGATCAGAGGGCTGTTTTTCTTTTATAACATAAATACTTAACGACACTAAGCTTAAGCAAAATGAAAAAGACAAAAAAAAAGACTCCCATTTTATGCAAATATGTAAATACAGATGTTACAGTTCTACCAGTCTGTCCTGTCTGCAGAAAGCATTTCCTTCATCATTATTTTAGTCTCTGTTAGTATTACTCCAAAACACTGCATGGCATGGACTGTTTTAGTAGAGATGATCAGAGGGCTGTTTTTCTTTTATAACATAAATAATTAACGACACTAAGCTTAAGCAAAATGAAAAAGACAAAAAAAAAATACTCCCATTTTATGCAAATATGTAAATACAGATGTTACAGTTCTACCAGTCTGTCCTGTCTGCAGAAAGCATTTCCTTCATCATTATTTTAGTCTCTGTTAGTATTACTCCAAAACACTGCATGGCATGGACTGTTTTAGTGTTTTAAAATTACAGCAGAGAAGCGGCATTTTGTCCATATCACTTTAAATACTAAAGCCTTCTGTTGAGAGCCTATTGAAAAAGAAAGGAAAATCTTAAAAGAATATTATGTGTGGCTCTGCAGTGCAGACTTCATGGTTGTTGGTTGCTCTGTGGGAATCTCACGTCCTCTTCATATGCTAAACAAGTCATTGTTCAGCACAAGGCTGCTCTTTTAACCTCTCACATGATGACTTAGGCTACTGGTACATAGGGTGTTGATGTTTTCTGAGAAAACTGGAATTTCGATCGGACTGAAAGAGAATCTTGTTTGGGAACAACTGGGAAATCATGTAAGTGAAAGCACACACACACACACATATATATTATAAGTGAAACTACTTTTATCTACCTGATATCTTATAAAATATCTTATGAATAATAATAAAAAAAGCAACATGACAAACATATGGTGTATGGTACCAGTGAGAGGTAGGCATTCTAGATAATAATAATAATAAAAAAACAATACTTATTTATAAGTATAAATAAAGATACAGCCTTGTGTCCAACAGATGGCAGCATTTCATCCAGATCACAGAAACATTTTCATTACTCCAGCCTTTGACTTGAATTTGTGTATACTTTCCAAATAAAACCCACATTAATGCATGTATGAGACATTTTAACGTAGTACAACACCGCGTTTAAAATGAACAAAACACTATGGTTTATGAACTCGCCTGAAACTTTATATGGTTTAAAAAATGTTTTTCTTTTAAAAATCGAGTAAATGAAATAACAGATTCTTTCACTGTTTCTTTAATTCAGAAAAATGACCGACTTAAAATAAACGTTTAAGATGTAGGCTATTGTGTAATATGTTATGACGCTGTCCTCTTCAATGTGATGAAATACAAAAGACGCAAACAAGAAGCTTCCTGTTTTATGACACTGGGGGCTGAGGATTAATATGGGACAAAATGTTTTCAGATTTTCTTTATTCAGTATTTTAAGGTTTAATCTGATACCTATCTCTACCCAGATGTTGAAGAAAATCGTTTAAAAAAATCTTTTTTAAAAAACGTAAACAAATTTAAAATTACCAGACATGTCATATCTCATTTGCAACGGCGGAGTTTAAAGCTTTTTAATCAACGTTAGTTAGAGACTTTTTTTGCACTCCCCTGTGTGCTGATGAAATTTTTGCCGGCTGTGACAACGGGGGAAGTCTCCGCCCCTCACACACTCCCACCGGCTGCGGTAACTCATACAGCGCTGGGTATTGTAGTTTTCTTCTAAGCGCAGCGAATGGCGAAGGTGGATCAAACAGCAGCATGAAAACTACAACCCCCATGACGAAACATGAGCGCGCTTAATGAGAGCATAAAGATAGCCGGGTGGATGATAGTAGGCGATGATGAGATGATTCTCTGGTGAACGTGGTACAGTTAAGCAATTAATAATGCGGATCTGCCTCGTATAGAAGAAACGTTTTCTGAAGTGATTGCGCTTTTTTATTGTTAATTGTATCCTTTGCTTTAACTGGCGGTCAGAAGAACAGTATCTTTACAGTAGCGTCTCTTCACGCGCATCCTCGTTCCTTGTTCTCCAGACAGACTCGATTTCCTCACTGAGCAGAAATGTATCGCTTGCAGTCGCTGGCAGCTCGATCGTTGATCGCCGGAGCTCTCGATCACTGTACCCCCTTAACGCTGACTTCTCTTACTGGGGTGCGACACAAATCTCAAGGTCCGTCCGTGGAGAAGTGCGGCCAGATGCGCTTCCTCACCGCCGAGGCTAAAGCGTCTGCTGGGCGCCTCGACGGGAAGATGCGGGAGAAGACCCTGACTATGGACACACTGAACCCGCAGGTGAAGGCTGTGGAGTACGCCGTGAGAGGACCCATCGTCCTCAAAGCCGGAGAGATCGAGAGATACTTGGAGGAGGTGAGAAATGCTTCAATGCAGCATCCCAGAGCTACATGTTTGTAAATGTTTATCTTTAGACACCCCAATGACACAAACACGTCTTTTCATAATCAAATTGTTATTTTTGTTCACAGTTGTAACCAGTAAAGTCAACGTTGCTCAGGTAGACACAATAGAAAGTTGCAAACAATAAAGTTAAAAAAATTTTATTTTCATTTTTCATAGAGTCATAGTCTCAGTATGGGAATTTGTGTTTCTCTTTGGCCACACATCTGACTACTGACATGTTTAGTGATGATTTATGTGAGGCAGAGTAATCTTAAAAATGCGTTCACCAAATATGGTTGTTGAATTAATAGTTTTTTAGCATGCTTCCATTTCTGGAGTTTTGACACTTAACATAATCGTTCAGAGGGTTAAGATGGAAACCGCTCTGGCCATTTACACCAGTTATGTTGAAATATTGACATGACATCAAAGCACTTCCATATATAGTTGACAACACTGTTAAATACAGCAACAACAACTTCAAGTAGGTTTTGTTTACAAATGCTGCTGGTGGAATTGAATGCATGAAAGCTTTTTTTAATAAAAAATTGTAAAGAAATTTTAGGATAAAAAATAAATACGTGAATAACTAAAATAGGAAATATTCAAACTTGCTGTAACATTAATTCTACACTAGTTACTGAATAGATGTGAGGACATCCCCTTAGGGATATACTGCTTTTCATGCCAAATGTGTTTGGTGGTTGGAAGTAATGTGCAAAACGATCCACCCGAATGCCTTGTAGTGGCACGTCTGTATTATTTTGCCTTCCTTTCTTGTTGTGTCCATGAGGGTTGCTTTGAATAAAGCAGTGCTCAGTCCACTTTCTGACCTACTTGCAGTGCTATTATCAAAGCAATGCGACAAAGTTGCTGATTCCTGTGATGCTGACCATTCAGCAGTAATGTTATCTAACTCTCTTTACCATGACGTAGAAGTATGTTTGAGCTTGCATGCTCAGCAATGACAGATGAGCACTTAGGAAGGGAGCTTTTTTTTTATAGCCCCTGAACAGGTGCCTTCTCGACCTCTGACAAGGGCATGATCCCCCCCCCAGACCCTGATGGTCTCCTCATCTCATAACATGACCTTGATTAACTGCTGAACTTTGTGTTGCCATGCCCTTAGCCTGTGACTAGATGGTACAGAATGTTTGAGGACAACAATGACGTAAAATCAATTTTGCTGTCATCGAAAGTGACAGGAAAGTTCTGATTTATGACTGTAGTAGGTCATGAAACGTAGCCTGATTTAAAGAACCAAATTTTCTACAACTTAATTTCTCAACCTTAGTTTTATACGAATGT